CTTATGGTGTATTAGAATTACCGTATAGATCTCCTTTTTTGCTCTTTTGGTAGATAAAAAGAGAGGTAAGCGTGAATCTATTGAAAGAAGCTCGGGATGATCACACACTCTATCTATGTTGGCAAGGACGTAGACCTTTGCAACAGATGGATTAAGACATTCAGCTTTGTTCACAGCTTCAAAGTGAGCAGAGGGTGGAATTGCAAGCTGTGATAGCAATGATTGGATCGCCCGTCGTAGCTCAACCGTCCCAATATCTCATCGAAAAGTTTAAGGATATCAAACTTCCTCAGTTGGTTAATCTTTTTTTTTCTTCTTCCTCTCAATAACACCATTGCATCAAATGAAGACAATACAAAACGTTTTACTGTGTCAGAGTTCTGCTTCAAAGTTTATATTAAACAACAGAAAAACAGTTCTTTATGCCACATATATAAATGAATGTTTATACGTTTTAAATGTGTAGAGGACCTTGCATAAAAAAGTTTTGAGAAATTGAAGCAGCACCTCTTCATCAAGGAGGAAAAGTTATTTTGTTGTTTTTAACTAAGTTTAGATTATTTTAGAGTTTATATTATATTTTTTATACTTAGACTGATTATGCTATATAGATTATAAGACAGAATTGTTCTTTTGTGTTGTTTTTGGTGACTACAAATTGGATATTATTCAAATTCACAGCTTTCTTTTCAAAATATATTAAAAAAAAAACATATAAGCTGGTAAGCAAATTTATAAAATGTAAATTAAATCTAAGTTAAAGTTCTGTTATTGTTTTCTCTTTTACTTGAGTTTTTATGAAAATATGGTTTAATTAGTGTATAGTTCAAACTTTGTTTTAACGTTAAAATCAATCATTATGCATTTTAACTATTGATAATTTATTATTTGGTTATATATATTTTTTATGCATTTGTTCTTATGTGTTATGGCAATGGCGAAATGAAGAGCTACTGAAATCTAAAACTGATGTACATTAAAAGAATCCTCGAATCATGTCAACTACCGTTGTTTCCATGTAGCAAAACAAATTCGAAATTAAGATTAAGAAAACATAATAATGTTCCATTAGATTCCATGTTTTTCCCCTCCTTTCATGAGTTTTTTAGCTGCCATAACATGTTTATACGACTAAGGAACGCAAACTTTTAGAAGAAACGCTTTTAAAACTTATTCGTATTGAAAAGTGATACAAATTTTCAAAAAGAAAAGATTAATAAATATAAGTTTATAACTAATAAGCATAATGTCGACAATTATAAGTCTGCCACTTGATTCTGACCCAATGACCTTCTCAAGCAAGTGTAATTCAGGTGCAATTCATACATTTACTGTCCATTGCTATTAATCTGAAGATACCAAATTTATCAACTATGATTAGATTTTTTCTCACAGTTTTGGACACTCAGGGACTTCGAGTGGATTATATTTGTCTCCCTCCTCAAGATGGTCCTGGGTCCCGTCTGATAAACAGTAACAAAAGTTACAATGGTCACAAGAAAAGACAACCAGATATTCCGCCTTTGCTGTTAACTTGCCACACAATCAGTGTCTTCAACAACCAGCTGGTTATAAAGATCACCGGAAAGGACAACCAGATATTCTATTAGTGTGTGGAATAGTTCATATATCCAGATTAGCTAACTATGGACAATTTCTATTGCTTATGTTGAGTTTTTCACAGTTTTACCAAGGTATGCATGCATGTTATTCAGGAAAACTTACTTTGCAGTAAGATATAATAATATTTACATTCTTTCTTTACCTTGGGGCGGATGCGAGGTGAATACAAACTTGCAGATTTGGCTTCAAAACTGGATAGGACCATCATTGTATAGTAACAAAGCCACTCCAACTGTAATCAAAGGTCGAAGTCAAGCAAGATGACACTAAGAGGCTTTGAAAATGAACAGAGATTAAACCTAATAGCTCACCATATTATCTCCAGTATGCCCTTTCATGACTCTACTTCAATGATCACGTGAATCCAATCCCTCGTCTTGAACTTCACAGCCAAAAGCAGTGAGATAAAACAGTATTCAACACCATGTAGAACCATAGCTCGAGCTTCCTTGGAAACCGTTGATCCAAACATATAGCAGACTAAGGCATGGCACCAATACTTAGTTAAAAAAAACTTAGTTAAAAGAAAAGTTTTGAAAAAGCTATTGAGCCAAACAATCCAAACAAAAAACAGAAATAAAGAGAAAAAAGTGTTTGTGAATGTAACTGCTTACATTTTCGGAGAAGATGACATAGTTTTTAAAATTCTTTCTCGGAAAAGGGACTGCTCTTCATAGATGTACATGCTTCTGTAGCACAAAGCTCCTTGAAGTGTTTCATGATCATAGGTGGAGATATGACGCTAAGCCGAGGGTAATCACATAGCACCGCAAGCTGGAACACATCAAGTGCGTTTTTAATGTTAAATCAACCATGTTCTAAAAGCTAGAGACGGAAGCAGAAAACACATGATATACTCATTCATCTTTTTCTGATACCTAATAAAAGTCAGAGGTCAGAGTGAGTAGTGAAGCACTTATTTTAACTAATAAGAGTAACAGAAACGAATTAAATCTCGCACAACATCATGAGCAACGCCGCAGATTGAGAGTGTATGCCACTTTTATTAGATCCTTGTTAATTTTACAAAGAGACAACTTTAGTCTGTATTCGGTTAATTGAAGATCCGAACTACACAACAATCCCATAAGTTTTATAAGGAGAGACAGGATATTTACCATAGTTGCATGAGCATAGAAGATCCTCTGGTGACTGTCACAGAACTGCTTACGAATGGTTGATAAGCGGAGCTAATATTCACATTATCTGTATCATCAACGACTACTTCCTCACTGATCTCGAACAGCTGCAACACAAATCCTTCCCTTGGTTAGAAGAGAGGTAGAGAGAGAAGTACATAATTGTGGAGATAAATGGGAAATAGTCTCAACTCATAGCATTTTTGTTTCCCTTATCTCAGGTCTGCAGTGGTATGTCTGACCTATACCGCGTCTCTCATCATTCACTCTCTTCCAAGACAGACTAAACCCACATTCATAAATAATTCTGTTCGATCAGTTTCTGTCTACTTCTGTGGCATGAAACATACGTATTATATTTGATGATAAACCCCAAATCTAGTTAAAACATCAAAGAATGCTTGCCTGCAGGCGTATACTTGAGAGAGAGAGCTCATCTTCTTATGGTAATTTGCGTGTGAGAAACCATGTTCATCGGTGCAAGTTTCAATCAAATGAAATTGACCAACCCAGTTGCTTGTCCCTGTGTATTGAAGAGGGAGGAAACCGAGCAATAATTAGATCACAGAGAGAGAAGAAAAAAAAGAAAGAAGGAAAAGCAACGCAGCTCTTAAGCAAGGTGAGATTCATTTAAAGCATGGCATATAAGACAACAACCTCAGTGCTAAGGCTTCATCATGTGGTCTTGCTTGAGAGCTAGTTGCATCTTTAGTACCTCGTACTGTTGTTATGGCGTAAGGTTCACTACTTGCTGGAGCAATGTTGAACTGGACATCCGGGGAGAGAAGTGCCTAGAGAAAAGATACTCAAACACGGAGCAAATATTTATTATTTTAATAGTTTAAATTAAGTTTCCCAATTATATGATCAATCTGAACTCTGAAGAGAAGCACTTTGAACAACTTGAAGAGACTAATCCTTAGACATAACACAGACATACAAATTCTCGGCAACACAAAATAAATAGGTTAATCGTCAACTAAGGTGCTGGAATTAAAAAAAAAAAACAGTCGAGGTCGTCATAAGCAGGAGATCAAACAGAAGGAGTAATCCTGCATATATATCCAAAGTAATTTAGTGTATGACAAAGAACTTAAGAAACGAAAAATAAAAAGATATTAACATCCTATTTTCAAATCTGAAATCAACAGATGGAAATCGACTGAAAGAAAATTCCATACCTAAAAGACGGAAAACTTGAACGGTCTCCAAACTTCGTCGTCGTAATCTGTGGACCTTCCTCTCTCAAGTGATCCAACACCATGACAGACGACCTCTCCCATTTCTCTGACGTCACGGCAGGAGGAGGAGGAGGCGCTGTTAAGATAACGTAAAGAAGGATTGAATGATTGAAAGTGGATCACTAACTCCAAAGAAACAGAGATTTGAAGAAATCAATCGGCCACGATGGAGAAGTGGAAGAGGTTAAACATTATAAAAGAGAGTTGGGCTGATGGGCTGCCAGAAATATTTACATGTTACATGAATAGGTCCGTTAGATTTGGTGATGAGCGAGAACCGCATGACGTGGCAGAAAGGTAATCTCTGATTGGTCTGAATTTCCCATCCGACGTGGACACGTTTAGAAGGCTTAGATAAGCCCTTTTAATAGTAATAGATTACATATAGAGTGAGTTACACTATGAGACACAATTTTCTCTTTTTTTACTTCTAAAGACACTTCTTGCCTGAGAGGCACTTTTCCTTTTATCGATGTTGTTTTTTGACAATCTTGCCTCTTAGCTTTTATAACTTTTCTTTTACAATTGTTTTCAACTTCTCCGATCTCCTCTTATTCCTTCCTCCTTCCTTCTTCCTTTTTTACTCATACTATTTATTTATTTAGATCTGTCTTATTTTTTTGTAGATCTACTTTTTTTAGTAAAATATCACAGTCACGCCTAACCTTTCACTACCATTGCTATTTCTTCTACGGTCACCACCGTCCACCATTGCCGTTTTTTTAAGAGCCATCACCGTTGTTTATTATGCGGCCAGAACCACCACTGTTTTCGTTTCTTCAATGGACATGAATTTGTGGATATGATTGTCTGAGATTTGCATAGAGTGGATGGTGTTGCTGTGAACATGAACCATCATTGTTTTCTTATGCCAAAAGCACCACCACCGTCTCTGATCTGTGGCGGATCACGATGCGGATAAAATGCATAAGCTGCAGAAGTTGAAACAAATGTTGTCCACACCAACCACATCCACACGACCATTGTCCACGCCAACCACATCCACCGTCCACACACACCCTGTCCACACCTCCACCATCCACACCACACCATCTGCAACAAATTTTCAGAGGCACGAAGACGAAAGCTAACTTCATGTTTTTCTCTCTCCACAACCACCACCATAATGCCTAAAGTTACTTTCTCATATGGTCCTTCCTCTACCTTTAACCTGAAGTTGAAATCAAAACTCATCTTCCCCAGATCTGAAGTTTCATCACCACACACAATTGAAGTTTTATTCACAAACAATATGTCTTTGAGTTACGACATTGTTGAGAAGTTCTGGAGCCGCCGTCACCACAAAGCGTATGAGATTCTTTGGATCGAAATTGGTTTCATATAAGTTATCATGTCTCTCAAGATCGAAGCTTTAACGATGAATTGAGAGTTTTTAAAGTCAATTGATGTTGCAGAGATGAAAACAAAGAGATTGAGATCCCACTGCCATCTTCCTTTATCTTTACTTCATCTCTAGCCACAGATTATGTTCATTCAAAACCCATACAAGAATTTCACGAACCCACCGGAACTTCGCCATGGAAACCTACGACTTATCCACTGGAGCTTCGCCATTGAAGCCATTTTTTGAGACAGAGGAATCTCAGATTTCAGATTTTTTATTGGGGATTAGAGTTCAACAAAAAGATTTGTTTTAGGCGGAGAGAGATAGATTGAGAGAGAGAGAGAGAGTTAAATTTAATCACGTGTAATATATGTTAGTTTTGGTTAGAGGGCAGAATAGACAAAGAACGCAACATAAGTGCCTTACAAGTGCAAAGTGTCTCTAGCTGTAATTGAAAAGATAAAAACTGTCTCCAGATGTAAAAAAATCTTACATATATGTCTTTATGATAACTCCATGTTGTTGGTTTGAGTTTGTATTCGATATTTTAATCACTTACGTATGTGTTTTACTCATTGAATGTACGGTAGCATTAATTAATCATAAAATTAGACTTTTTTGCTTTGGAATAAAGTTTTTATTTTCATTTGTTTTGTGGATCAAACACATGAATGTAATACCTAGCTAGAAGTTAAACTATAAGCGTTTAAAACTATATTTTATAAATTTCACCCAAAAAACCATATTTTATAAGCTTCCAAAACAGAAGTGTAAACTTCCAACATCATGCTTTGAAGAGTTATAATATTTTGGAATGTTTAACTTATAAAAGCTTCTGATTCTAAGAAAATCTCTAACTCACTTTACATTTCTTTTATAATAACATTTAAGTGCAAATTTATCCTAATCCACTTCTATTTCAACATTTATAAACAGAGAAGAAATAACATTCTTCTATTTTTACTTTATATATATTCAAAGAATAGTATTTTATAAGATAAAATTGGAGTAAATTTCATATCTATTATAATTCTTTTTAGAAGAGAATAGAAAAATTACATTAGAAATAGTTTACAACAAAATTTAAAATCTGATAAAAAATTATGTTACTTAGTTATTGAATTCATTAAAAAAACTAGATGATCATATGAAAAAGAGAAGAAACCCCAAAAACAATATGACCCTCATCATACACCTCTTGTGCCACATGACTCTGACCCATCTCACAATACCAGCAAAGATCGTTGAATACCAAGAAAAAACAAGAATCTCAAATCGAGTTTTTCTTCTCTCTAACGAATAAGACTTTTCTTGTTTTATTCTGAGTGTAGAATGCCACATTTGTGTGAAGCAACGACCACACTATATAATATATATGTGAATGACTCAATGATTATAGTAAGACTTTTAATCACGGCCCAAATAATTCCTTAAGAAAAATGCAAAACATAAAAATCTTTTTAAAATTTTTATTTTAATGGTCCCTTCCTTTTGTCCTCTTCCAACAACAATTGCTTAAGACATTTAATGTACTAGACTGCAAATCAAATCTACTTCATTGAATTTCTCGGTGTACTGTAATAATGGCGGACAAGATCAGAAGCAGAACGACTCTGTTCTCCTCCGTGTTATTACTTTGTCTATGTCTATCCCCGGTTCCGACATCGTCACAACGTCCTAAACTCAGGTTCGGTCTGAACGGCGAGTTCAAGATTCTCCAAGTTGCAGATATGCACTTTGCAAACGGCGCAACTACTCACTGTCTCGATGTTCTTCCTTCCCAGAAAGCTCACTGCTCCGACCTCAACACAACCCTCTTCATGTCTCGTGTCATCTCCGCCGAGAAACCTGACCTCATCGTCTTTACCGGTAAAAATCCAAACTTTAAAATTAAAAACCCAAACTTTAAATTAAAAACCTAAACTTTAAATTAAAAACCCAAACTTTAAATTAAAACCCCAAATTTAAATTAAAAACCCAAACTTTAAATTAAAAAAAAAAAAAACTGTAAATTAAAAATGTAAATTTTAAATTAAAAACCCTAAACTTTAAATTAAAAACCCAAACTTTAAATGAAAAACCCAAACTTTAAATTAAAAACCCAAACTTTAAATTAAAAACCCAAACTTCAAATTTAAAAAAAAAAAAACAGAACTTTTTCTCCTTCTGATGATGATGATGGTCATTTGGGTTTTGTGTTCATTCTCAGGTGATAATATATTTGGGTTTGATGTTAAGGACCCTGTGAAGTCAATGAACGCTGCTTTTGCTCCAGCTATTGACTCTAAGATCCCATGGGTTGCTATTTTAGGAAACCATGATCAAGAATCCACTTTGAGCAGACAAGAACTCATGAAACATATTGTGAAGCTTCCCAACACTTTGTCTCAAGTGAACCCTCCTGAAGCTGCTCATTACATTGATGGGTTTGGCAACTACAATCTCCAAATCCATGGAGCTGCTGAGTCTAGTCTTCAGAACAAATCTGTTCTCAATCTTTATTTTCTGGATAGTGGAGATTACTCTAGTGTTCCTTACATGGAAGGTTATGATTGGGTTAAAACTTCGCAGCAGTTTTGGTTTGAGAGAACTTCAAAACGTCTCCAGGTATACCATCAGCATTGTATAATCAATCTTTTTGTCTCATTTAGCCCTGCGGATTTGAACCGAACTGAACCGGAGTTTTTTGGTTTTCGGTGCACTTTCGGTTTTTAGTTCGGTTTGGTTCGGAAAGCTTTTCAAAATCAATTCGGTTACTGGTTCAGTTTAACGGTTAACTGAATTATTACTATTATTTTTAAAAAGTTATACCAAAACTAAACCGGTTTATACTGAAAGTGGACCTTCTTAACTAATAAACAATTAAACTTAACCAAAGTAAGTAACCACATTTAACTGAAAATACCCGATTTTAACCGAATTTTCGTTTTTTTTTGGTTTTAAACAGCTTTCAGTGGTTCGGGTTTTGAAATCGGAAACCAAAATGAACCGATAGATTAACCGAAAGACATTTCGGTTAATTTCAGAATTATTTTTAAAAGTTTTAGTTAGCCGGTTTGGTTTTGGAAAACCGAAATCGTAGGCCTAGTCTCACTAATCTCCAACACTTTGGTTTTGATGATGATTGCAGAGAGTGTACAACGCAGAGCCTAATCCTCAGCAAGGCACAGCTCCAGGACTAGCTTACTTCCACATTCCATTACCAGAGTTTTGGAGTTTCAACTCAAAGAACGCAACAAAAGGAGTGAGACAAGAAGGAACATACTCAGCTTCCACAAACTCAGGTTTCTTCACGACATTGGTATCTAGAGGAGATGTGAAGTCAGTGTTTGTGGGTCACGACCATGTCAACGACTTTTGTGGTAAACTCAAAGGTTTGAACTTATGTTATGGTGGTGGGTTTGGTTACCATGCGTATGGTAAAGCTGGGTGGGAGAGGAGAGCCAGAGTTGTGGTTGCTGAGTTGAATAAGAAGAAGGGAGGTGTGAGATCGATTAGGACATGGAAGAGGCTTGATGATCAGCATCTCTCTGTTATTGATGCTCAGGTTCTTTGGACCAGTTCTGGAAATGGATCAGTTGCTCCTCTTTTATGACTATATGTTGGTTGCATGTTTTATCTGATTGTAATGTTTTGAGTTTTGTAGAAACTATTTTGGTTTCAGATTAGTTTGATGCAACTTTAGCTTGGTTTCTTGTATTTAGACATCTAACACAAGCTACCATTGATCATATTACTTGGCATTTTAGAAAAATATAATTTAAAATGGGAACAAGAAGCCCGTATAGCTCAGTGGTAGAGCGTCAGTCTTGTAAACTGAAGGTCCGTAGTTCGATCCTGCGTGTGGGCACTTTTTTAATTTTTCATCGCTCCTAACTCTTGGCTTCTTGCCAGCGTGAACGACGTCGTATAATAGATTTCAACTTTGCCGTTTTGATTTTAGAATTGAACAGAAGAATATCATCGATCAATATACACCAATGCTTTTGAGAGGATTGGCTTGAAGATCTTGATCATGGTATTTGAATTTGTCTGGGCCGACTGGGTTCGAACTCATGACCTCGTCAGGGTCGGAGGAGTACATTTACCAAATATATTAAACGAAGTTTTGACAAAATAGCGGCCGAATTAGTACTTAATATCTGGTGATCGGAAGCATGTGCTTATCAGCTTATGTTCAAGGCCGGCTCTGCTTGTCATGATCTTAAGTCTTAACTTATATGATCTCATGCTTCCATCTGTTAATTTATGTTGTGGCTTGGATCTTCCAATTAGAGTTGAACCAGTTTGATTCTCAGGTAGCCAAGTGTTAACACTGCGATTTATATTTTCAGTACTCTGAATTACAGAGCTTACAGAGGATGTGGGTTTTCTATTTTATTTGTATAGCTAGAAATTGTTATAACATATATTTTTTAATGAATGTTAAATTTATTCATCTCAAATTTTTTTTTTACAATAAATGTTTCTAAGCGTTGAAAACTATTAGCAATTTAATTGTTGTAACATTCATCAACTCAAAATATAAAAGTTTCCATGTTTACATAAACAATCGTAATCCATAATAGAGGACTGATTGATCTTTAGTTAAGTTTTGCCGACTGAAATAACTCTAGCCGACACAACGACCAATATAAATGTACGTAATAAATACTCTTCACATTTTCATCAATATTATTACATAACTAGCTTTCAAGTGCTAGTTTCATTTATATTATATACACACACACATATCTATATACGCTGGTAGGGTCAGCAGTGAGAACCCTTTTTGCAGCTGAGTGCACCCGATGATATAGTTAACTCACTAACATGAGAGGACGGTCTAGCAGCTAAGCTTGATGCTTTCGAATAGCTTGACGATTTAGTTGGTCCAGCTCCAGAAAGTGTAAAGAATGCACCATTAAGCATTAGATCTCCTTCTGATCTCCAGTTCCACTGACTCCACTCGCTTTCTGGCGCATCCTCATGCTTTGTTACCTATATTTTCCCCAAAAACATAAGTTATAATACTTATAAATTTGAATAAAATAAATCACATTGAATTGTATATAGTTAAAGTTGAATTAAGAATATGGATTTACCTCTTTGTCATCAGGACCATCAGGAGCAAGAAAACGGTTGCCTTGAGAGTTGATGGTAGGATTTGCACTTCCTCCAATTGCATACATTTCCCAATGTGTATAGTCATTGTTCACCACATGGAAATATCCATGTCGACACCTACATATATACATTATATACAGTAATCATTACTTTAAAGTTGTATAATTATTTTAACTCTCTTAATTGATCTACATTTAAAATTAACACATGAGCAAAATGTTAACTCAACTAACCTAACTACTTTACAGTTGATTATGACATCATAATTATTTTGGTTGATCGATCCTTTATATGTAGAAAAATAACAAGGTAGCTTAGAGCACCCCCATCAAAGGTTCAGATGGGGGGTTCACACATTTTTCAAAAAAAAAAAAAAGTAATAGTGATGAACCCGCCTCTTATAGGTTCTCTGTGGTTGGTTCATCACTGTAGCGCAGGCCCCACGACACGTGGTGGCCTGCGATTCGTCTATTTTTTATTTATAAAAAAATCAAAAAGAAAACAGAAAAAGTAATAATAAAATATTGATTTAATGAACCGACATTGATGTGGATGCTCTTAGAGTTTAATGGAGTAGTTGTGTTGGCTTTTCTATTTTCTTGTAAGATATGAAGAGAATGTCCACCGACAATATAGTGATATACTTAACCTTTATAGTTTGTGCTACATATATCCACATATAGCCACACATAGATTGTTTTGATAAATAGTAAAGTAAACCATTTTGAATACCTTGGCATTCTTTGGACGAGGCCTTCACCAAAATGGTTAAAAGCGATAGTGACTTGCATGTTCTTGTCTTGTGCATACGTATCACTATGTCCCAACAACATAACCTTATTGTGATGCGTCAAGTAATTATTAGAGATCGTTATAGCCGTTGAGCCACGTATCGCATCAATCAACCCATCGTTACAATTCGAAAGCGAGCAATGATCAACCCACACATGACTCCCACTGAAGATAGACACACCATCACCGTCCGATATGGTCCTCCACCCGTAGTGCTCTGGAGAGTCACGTACGTAAGTATTACCACCTTGCTTACAATCATGTATGTGTAAACCATGGATTATAATGTTGGTCACATATTGTATGGTTATGCACGGTCCACCAGCTATGTGTACTGATGCTCCTCGTCCGTCTAGGGTTTTGAAAGAGTTCATTATGAGTTCTTCTTTTAGTTGGATCGTCATGTCGCGGTTAAATATGATCCAAAGCGGTTGGTCTTGGATCACTGCGTATCTTAGAGTTCCGGGTTTAGGGTTTACTGGATCATCGTTTCCTGGATCAGTGACCACGTAGATTTCACCATCACGACCACCGATTGCGTTTTTGCCAAAACCGATTCCACAGTCAGCTAACCGTTTTCGGTTCTTCTCCCAATCTTTGTCGCATCGCCAACAATCATCTATTGGATTACCGGTCTCACACGAGAAGTATCCTAAGTTCCTTCTTGATATAGACTCGTTTATTTTCCTAAAATATCAACCAGTCAACATCAACTATATAAAAGAAATTTTGCATTACTCTTAACTAGTCTACTCATAAATTATAATTAACGTAAGTAACTAGCTAATGCAGCAAGTGAGAACATGTTGGTTTATGATAAGATTAAAATGACATAATTAATCACCCTTGCATGGAAATAACTTGGGAATAATTTTATAAGCGTTAACAATATTTCAAGTGTATAGAAACATTTGTATCCTTTTAGAGAGTGTATAATTGTGTTACAATACCTGTGTACTTCGTCAACGACGAGCTCGGGGTCGGAAACGGGCAAAGACAAAGCGAATGCAGTGAAGAAAATGCAGCAGAGAAAGATAAGTGTAAAGGAAGCATGTGATGAATTAAGCATTGTGTTCTTGGCTTCTTGCTGTTGATGAAGTTTTAAGGTTTTAGGATGAAACATATGAGTGAAGGGAGAAAGACAAAGCAAACATATAGACTATATAGCATAAGATAACGCCTTGGGTGACTTAATGCGCATGCAAGTTGGTGACCCACTTTTTCTTTAGTCTCAATACATTAAATAGTTTTTCCTGTGTTATATGGAGATCAACATAAATCATATAGAGAGAAGCACATTGTTCATAAAGGATTGATCAATATATGATCAAAAAGGTTAACCAAACATAAGATAAAAAATTTCAAATCCTAATTAAGGGTATACAGTCAATACAGAACAGTGTTATGATTTCTATTTACATCAACGAACCATAAGAAAAGAAGCAAAATCCATCGGACATTACTATCACTGAATACCGGTCCTGACATGGGAAAGACCAGAAGCAATTTTCAAAAAATTGGTCATTTTTATAAGAACGTTTATATACTATAATAATAATTTTCTTATAAAAAATACTGAATTTTTCAAATATTTTTGAGGGCCGGAAGCGGTTGCTTGTAATGCTTCCCCTCAGGGCCGGTACCCTACTGCCATTGATACAATGAATCAGTCATCATTGTAAATATAACGATGTCAACCATTCAAGCAACTATAATCAAACCGCTTGAGCCAGTGACAATTAATAACCAAACATTCAGGTTCAGGTAACACTGAGCATCGAGTCACGTGGCTCAGAGAGAAAAGGGGTACTTGTAATCAAATCTCAACGAACTTAAAATGATTGTTGGTGATCACTAACTAGATTGGTCACAAAGTCAACAGTGTGTTAGTGAGTGTACTTTAGTAATACGGTTGTTTTATCTACGGGTGAATTACATTAATAGCAGCCCCATCAAAAACGATAGAAGAATAGGAGAATTGAGCCGACATTGGCCCCTAGAGGTTTGATTAGGGGACCATCAAACCATGTGCTCTAAGTCCAATCTATAATAAATTCCACATAAAGTTCATAATTTATATATTTATAGCGAATAATTGGACTTGTAATGAAAATTTTGGTTGGTATAAAATGTGTTGACAATTAAATGCACATTTACACTATTTGCATCACTATATATCATCCACACTAATATTTCTATAATATTTTCAGAACACTTTATCAACTTAGACAATTGTAAATCTCCATCGACATTTTATTTTGCTGCACCCACTTTTCATTATTATTTTCTTGACATACTCTAGCCAACACTTTACGTTGATGAAAAACTATTTTTTTCATATATTTAGCATTAACTACAACCAAAACAAGTAAACAACAGTCAATATTTTTAATCCAGTGAATTTTCATTATCGTTACCAGCAAATTATTATATGAATCAAGCATGATTTCTGTATACTAGGACATGAGCTGCATAGAACAAAATAACAGCATTTTCTGAACAAAATAACAGCAATTTCTGAATATTTCACATTAAAAGGGTACTATGTGTTTAAAAACTTTTGGGCATTCAGTTGAAATTTCTAGTATGATCATCAAACATATTCGATATTCTGATGACAAAACCCGAAAATTGAAAATGTGTTCCCTACTTTTCATGAAATTTTAAATGCTCAAAAGGCTAAACTATATATGGATATATAACCTATCCAGTTTTCATTACTCTTTGCAAGATGCTATACTGATCGTATTTCAGCATGCAAACATGTAACTACAGAGCATAATAATACCTAAATCACCCATTATAGTTTTGTGACTATATTTTGACCCAAAAAATAAATGAAGTTTTGTGACTACTATAGAGTGTTACATTGGTGTACTGCACGTACATACGTGTCAGGCCCGACCCTGACAGGAAACATTAGAAACATGGACTTCTGGCCTTCAAAAATATATATAAGTTTTGGCTAATTTTTGACAAAATATTTCTTTAGTCTAGTGGTTTCTATTAAGCAATCTGAGCCTAGCAACCCTAGTTCCAATCAAAGGTGGGACATTATTGACCTTTTTTTTCTTCTAGAAAAGCTGGTCCTTTGCAAGTCAGGACCGCTACTAATAAATGTTATCAAACCGAAACTTGAACATTCGGGTATCAAACTCAATAATAATATTTTGTTATTATGGATTCATATAAGAACTACTGTTCATGACAAAAGCTCGTCGGTTGCCATATGAAATTAAATTCAACTTTCATTTTATTCACATGGTTGCGAAAGTTGAAATAGTTGTAAAAGAATACAATGGAAAAGGAGAAAATTGACCTTTCTAAAGACAAGCAGAGTCGTTAGATTTAAGGGGTAGATATAAAGGGAGACGTAGGATTAGAAGGAGAGACACTTAATTCAGACAAAAGGCATGTGAGTGGTCTTGCTTGAAAACTACTTGGCAACTTCTTCTCATTGTCAGTGTTTTACAAAATAATTCGATACACATATATAGTGCATTGATCACTATAACAACAGAAAATAATGTTGATTAGTCAGTTCATAATCATCAATTTGTATTAAATCAAGAAATTATAATATAATACAATATCCATATAATTTTTCAACATATATAATTAAAGAAGAAAATAAATCATAAACAATCTGAAAAAGAAGTTTGCGGGTACATTACTGAAAGAGCTAGCGCACCAATATGAGAACCAAAGAGAATGAAGAGAACAAACTCCACTTTACTAAGAAAATTGGCATACTAAACATGTATGTATGCAAAACATGTTGAATATGAGTTCATCACCCAAACCAACCTTCTAACTTGGAATGGAAAACGGTAATAGTTGTTGGCTCTTTACCAAGTAGTGAAGTATTGCATGTCCCTTCTTTGCTTTTATCCTACACTAGGATACGCTTATTACTCTCTGCGTAAAGTTCGAGTTGAGCTCCAAGTCCATCATTTCAAAGATATGCACAGTTGGTGGAAAAAACGGACCTGAGATTTCAGGACCCTATCCAAATAATAAAATCTAGATTTTACTTATTTTTAATATTTTTGAATGAATTCTTAGCTTAAATTGTTTCTTAAGATAAAATATGTTTTTGGTAACTTAAAAGTTAAATAATCACTTTAATATATTATAAAATTCTTTATATATGAAAAAATTAGTAATTAACCTCAAAATGGTGAGTTTCAGTGGAGAAAGGATGATGACAGTGCTCTTAATTTTATAAAGATCATTCTAGTTGGTTATATGTACTATGTGTGAATAATGAGATGTTTATAGTTTTCAATTTGGCTTATTTGTTTCTTGTATTGTGTTGGATATTTTTTTCTTAACTTAGCTAGATATCTCAATTTGGTTTCAAACTTAATAAAAATTGATTTAATATTTAACTTGAAAACATAATATGAATAATAACAAAAGCATATAATTTCTATTTCCTAATTATTTGTAATCACTATATCTAATATTCTGGTACTAGTTGTGTAATTTGTTTTCTAAACTAACCATTAACTACACAGAACTAAAATAAAAAAAAGTTTATTGTTAAAAATGAGATGAAAATCACTAATTTTCTTTTCATGTATTGATGATTGACTATTTTATGGAGTTTTGGACAATCAACTATTAGTTTGATTTTTTTTTTTCATAATAACTAGTTGGAGAATAAAACACTATTATCTTAAAGAGGTGCATGAAAGAAGCAGACCCTCTATCTTAGTAAGAAGGTTAGTGTAACGCCTTTGAAGAACAGACTAATCATTGTTACCAAACACCCTCGTCGTCAAAGTATTTTAATTCATTTTCTTCTTCTCACTTGACTTCACCGGAGAACTCACAAACATTCGATGGACCGCCCGGAGACGATCGCCGTCAAATACGAGCCAATGACCGTTGATTCTCCTTCCTCTTCTTCAGCCGTCGCCACAGAAAACAAGCCAACACGACCTCAAAAGCTTGTAGTTTTAGCAGACCTCAATTTCAACCCTCCTGAGAGTGACGATCTCGACATTCAAATCCCTACTCCTTCCATCACTAGGTACTCCGTTTCTGCTTCTACAAGCTATTTTAAGTGCAAAGTCTCTTCCTTTGGCCTTTAAAACAATTTTATAGTCGTTTACTTGAGAAACAGAGGTTTCTGAGTAGCTTACAGTACGACTCTGCTTCTAGGAAAGGGAGGATTTTGACGATTAGGGTTTGATTCTTACTGCTTTAGGGGCAGGAAAGTCTCTCTCTTTATGATTCTTACAATCAGGTCAAGTTGGATTGAGCTAGATATATGGAGAGACATAGTAGCAAACTTTTGTCTAAGGGTTAAATGGGCTACTAGTTGAAAACTGAGACGTTATAAGGAGCTCCCTGATCTGTACATACTTTTCCGGAGCTATATATTTGAATCCATAGCGTTTATTTGCTAGTAGAACCTATAGGGAAGGGAAATTTTTGACAGTTAGGTTTTGATTCTTACTGCTTTGGGGGGTGGGAAAGACTAATTCTTTATGGTTCTTGGCTTCCTATACAGTCATGTCAAGTTGGAGTGAGGTAGATTTATAGAGACATAGTACTTCGTCTAAGAGTGGAATGGTCCACGAGATTAAAAACTGAGAAGAGGACGTTATAAGGAGTTTCCTGATCTATACATACTTTTCAGGAGCTATATATTTGAGTCCAGGGTCTTTGTTTGTTAGCATGACTTTTGGTGTGTGTATTTGATTATACAGGTTTGGCTCTTGGGTTGATTTATATGCCAATATGGTTTAACACGGATGAATAAATTCTTTTTGTAAGGTTGAGTAACGAGGAGAGTAATCAAGATGGAGGCTCATTAACATGTAAGGAGGTTGAGCCAGGGGAACTAGAAGGCAAAAAGATCAGCAAGGTGGGGAAATGTCGTTCGAGAAGTAAGTTTGAGGGGTCCTCTGATTGTGGAGTTGATGCAGATGGTGAACAGGCTAATCAAGGCGTCTCTGCATCCCGGGAAGAAAAGATTAGTAACCTAAAAATGGTTAGTTTATGTTAGCAAGTGTGCTTGGTCTAATGCTATGTGAGGATGGATGATGCTCTTAATGATAACACTTCGTTGCTTATAGGGTTTGATTCATGTAGCAAGGAAGATGCCCAGAAATGCTCATGCCCATTTTATTCTTGGTCTTATGTTTCAACGATTGGGCCAATCCCAAAAGGTAGTCTTCAGCTGAAGCTGCACCGATATGTCTTAGAATAATTATCATCTTATTGAGTTTAACAGCCAGAATTATTTAGGCAATACCAGAATATGAGAAGGCTGAAGAAATCTTACTAGGTTGTGAGCCAGAAATTGCTCGGCCAGAACTTCTCTTGTTAGTTCAAATGCACCATGGACAGGTGAGATTGTCTTTGTTTCTCCTTTAATTGATTGAGAAGTCACACTAACGTTCTAACACTTCACACTTTAAAAAACATTGTAGTGTCTTCTTTTGGATGGTTTTGCGGATAGTGACTCTGTTAAAGAGATTGAGGGAGAAGAGCTTGAAGAAATTCTTTCAAAACTTAAGGATTCTATAAAGTTAGATGTTAGACAGGCGGTTGTTTGGAATACCCTTGGCTTAATGCTTCTCAAAGCTGGCTGTTTGATGGTAAATAACTTTTACCATATTTTGGTGTTTCAAAGTTACCATGTTATTCCTTTTTGTGATTCTGTTTGTGTATGATTTTATAGAGTGCCATATCGGTTTTGTCATCTTTGTTGGCCCTTGTTCCTGACAATCATGATTGCCTTACAAACCTTGGAGTTGCTTATCTTCAAAGGTAAGAAATCTTTCTTTCTTCACTTGTTTAAGTATTATTGTGATACCTCTCTCTCTAATTACCAAGTTTTGCAGCGGAGATTTGGAGCTTTCAGCTAAATGTTTCCAAGATTTGGTACTCAAAGACCATAATCATCCTGCTGCTTTGATTAATTATGCTGCTGAGCTTCTCTGCAAACACAGTTCAACTGTCGCTGGTTTGTTTCTTATACTGCTAAACAAAGTTCACATCAAATTAAAGAAGTAAAAGTGTTTTCAATTGTTGTTAGGTGCCGGATCTAATGGTGATCCTGAGTCTTCTGAAGACCAGAAGGCACATATGAATGTCGCAAAGGAATGTCTCTTGGCTGCAGTAAGAGCAGATCCAAAGTCTGCCCACACATGGGTCAATCTTGCTAATTCCTACTATATGATGGGAGATCACAGAAGTTCAAGCAAATGTTTGGAGAAGGTTGCTACTCTTAACTCACTATCTAACCCTTAAAACTAACAGTCTTGGTCATGGCTAACTGTTTTTTTTTTTAATCTTCAGGCAGCTAAACTTGATCCCAACTGTATGGCTACTAGATTTGCTGTTGCTGTCCAACGAATCAAAGATGCTGAAAGGTCTCAGGATGCTAGCGACCAGCTTTCCTGGGCTGGCAATGAGATGGCTTCAGTGATAAGAGAAGGAGAATCTGTTCCAATTGATCCTCCTATTGCTTGGGCAGGACTTGCCATGGCTCATAAGGCACATCATGAAATTGCCGCTGCTTTTGTTACTGACCGAAATGAATTGACAGATATGGAAGAACGAGCTATGTACAGCTTAAAGCAGGTATGCCGTTTCTGTGTTTAGATGGTTTGGTCATAGACACAGACACACATAGATAATGAAGAATCATTGTTGCATTGAGACAACCTTTTGATTTCATTATTCTCTTTCTGTTCACCGTAGGCAGTAACAGAGGATCCTGAAGATGCTGTCCGGTGGCATCAGCTTGGTCTTCATTGTCTCTGTTCTCAACAATATAAACTCTCCCAAAAATACATCAAGGCAGCAGTTAGTCGTTCTAGGGAATGTAGCTATGCGTGGTCAAATCTAGGTAACTCCCTCTTTTTCTAATTGCTCTAATAAGCCTGAGAAGAAAGACGGTTTCACAAACCTAAGATTGTTGCATTCACATGCTCTGGCTCTTAGGTATCTCGCTGCAGTTATCAGACGAACAACCAGAAGCAGAGGAAGTATACAAGCGAGCCTTGGCAGTGTCAAGAGAGGATCAAGCTCACACCACATTCTCTAACCTAGGGAACCTCTACAGACAGAAGAAGCAGTACGAACTCTCAAAAGCAATGTTCTCAAAGGCGCTGGAACTCAAACCAGGTTATGCACCTGCATACAACAACCTTGGACTCGTGTTTGTAGCTGAACGTAGGTGGGAAGAAGCTAAGTTGTGTTTTGAGAAAGCCCTTGAAGCTGACTCGTTACTTGACGCAGCACAGTCTAACTTGCTTAAAGCTACAACCATGTCAAGACTCTGTACTTGCTTTGCTTCTACAACTGTTGTCCGAGATTCTTGATGCGTTTTGTGGATCTCACGTTATGTGTTGTTAATTAGTACAACTCTCACGTCAAATGATAAAATGAAAATTTTCCTTTTTTGTTTATCCTGAAGATAGAGTAATGATTCAGGCATTGTAACGTGAAAAGATGAGATAAGTGGAAGATCATTTACATAGTTTACTTTTTTTTTTTCTGAACACTTACATAGTTTACTTATAGTATTCATTTAAAAGGTTGAGGAGTATTTACTTTTATAAAACATGAATCTAATAATTCCATTAGGCAGTAGATAGGTAAGATATTTATTATACACATTTGTTAATATTATATTATTGGGCTGGATTTTGAAATCTTGATACTCTACAAATTAACTTTTTACAGTAAAAAGTCAACAGCTAGAGAGTGAGTTACCGTTGGAGCAAAGAACAACAAAAAAAAAAAGAAAAAAGAAAAAAGAAAAAGAGTAAGTGTGTGACCGTTGTAAGTAAGTACAGTCCCTGTCTTAATGCCTCGCCTTTAAATAAAGAGAACCTCTTACAGAAAACTATTTGTCTCCTCTTTCTGTCTTAGCTACCTCTCGACGATGACTGGTTGGATGATTACTGTCTCTCACAAGAGCGACCTCTGCCATGGCTCTAAGCTAAGCTTCGTCCTTAAGGTGTGTTCTTTCTCCGATATATTCGTTCTTTCTCTGCTTACTAGTGTCTTTTTTTTTTTTGTAATCTGATTGTTTGTTTTTTTCCTTAGATTGTGGAGAGTATGCTTGGTTAAATCGGACGGTGCCTTGATCATTCTCCACTCATTTATCAGGTGTTCTTATTTCCAAAATCCTGTTGTTTACCTTCTTCGGTTTTGAAATGTTTTTTTTCTTTGGTTTTGAAGGGGAAATTTTATAAAAAACATGATTAGATCGTGAGGAAACTTATGTGTAAATTTGTGAGATAACATTTTGAGCAGAATATGTCCCCTACTGTTGTTGACGAGTCCGTTAGAGTTAGTATGTTTATTTGTTTCTAACACTTATGGTACACTGAGCCTACTCCAAATCGGTCTTGTGATTTACAACTTGATCTGATCGTGAGGAAACTTATATGTGTACATTTGTGATTAACATTTGAGCAGGTATCCTGTCTCATGAGATGGTTAGATGTAAAAGTATGTTTATTTGTGTTGAACACTTATGATCACTGAGCCTACTCCAAATCAGTCTTGCAATTATAAAATTTCCCCTGTTTTTCTTTCTTTTTCTGGTTTTTGTTTTTGGTTTTTGTTTAGCTTGCATCGTTGGCCTATTTGTTTGTTCAGTGTGATCTATCTACTTGTCGTTTTGTTGTTTCAGATTCTGTGGTGAATGATGGCTTGCTTTGATCGATGATGGGGTTGTTTTTGGGTTTGATCAAAGGATGAATAAGGAGCCTGCCTCCACAGTCTTTGACAAATTTAGCAGGTGTGGTATCTGACACTTATGATTGTGGTTGTTGCGTCTCAGTTGATCTTTTGAGTGACTGTTGATCTGTTTTTAGAGTATCAAGTTATCTCCGAGGCTCTTTGTATTTATTTCACTGCGTTCAAGTGCCAGAGAAACTACTCGTGTCATGTTATATTATAGTCACCTCAATATTTCTGGATCTGAATCAGAGTTAACAATGAATGATCTTTTTTTACTAAGATTTTCTCTTTTGCTTTCTGTTATCAGTCGGCGGTTGAAGCTGGCTCAGATAAGGATCATACAGTGGCTCAAGAAGGTGTACACCAAGAGGCAAGAAGAAGATAGTGCCTTTTTTGTTTGTTTAACTTGCTCTATGTTTGCAGTAGTATCATGTATAACTGTTTTGTATTTGGTTGTGGAAGGTTTTCCCTCAACATCCAAACATATAAAGTTGTTTAATGTTACAAGTTGTTCCAGATACCAAGTGTTGAAGCCACAAATGGATAAGTTTCATTTGATGTATTATTATTGTCATCACATCACCATTGTTTTTGAATTCAAGTTTTCCTTCTAATAGAGAGGTTCTTTCTAAGTGATATTATTTGATTTCAAAAGTCTCAGACAAATCTCATTCTCATCTCTCTCGCATGACTTTTGCCACAAAGGAAGAAAAAGTTTGACAAACCAAAAAGCAAAGAGAAATAAGCTCAGGCTTCTTGTCTTAACTGAAAGGGCATTGTTATAACAACATTAGCTCTCCTTTTAGGTCAATCACAGTGGCTTCTCTGAACCAAGATGCAAGAAGATAGTGCTTTTTTTTTTGTCTTGCTCTATGTTTGCAGTAGTATCATCTTAATATTATTATATAGTGTATCTGTTTTGTATTTGGTTCCCTAAACATATAATATACTCTTTCAATAATGCAAACACACAAGTAAAAAGTTACAAGATATGAAAAGGTGTAAGATAAAAATTGTCTTGCTCTCTGTTTGCATTAGTATAAAATGAGAAAAAAAGTTCCTTTTCGTCTATTCTGAAGATATGGTAATGATGAAAACAATGTATATAATGTTACAAGAACAAAAACTCTTACCCATTTGAGTAAAAAGAGAAACAAATTGGAGAATTCTATCCATTATTAGAAACATTGCCAAATACAAAAATCAAAATGGGAGAAAAGAAACGAGTCTTCTTAGCGTCTTCTATCTTCTTCCTTAACCCATCATCTACACACAACAAGAGAGAGTAGAGTTTCAACTTTCAATGATTCATGCATTTGTAACTTCAAGATATGAGATAAGTGGAAGATCATATTTTACCTTGAAGATGTCCCCAAACATTCCTTGCATAGGATTCCTACGCTGCACTCCGTAAAATCTCTCTGCAATCTCGTCCAGCAACTTCACAAGACAACAAAATTTCACCGTTTTACTCAACACAGAAAGAGAGAAACATAAACATGCAGAAAGACCAATCTTGTATACCTCGTTAAGGAGACAGTCTCTATCTATGCAAGACTTAAATTTCACTCTTAACATATTGAAAAGAGGCAATGCATCCCTCTGCAATCTGTATCAGTACATCAAAGCTCTTTAGGTAACAGGAACAAACAAAAGAAGACTAAAACAAGATGAAGATCTAAGAAGGTAACTAACGTTTCCAGAAGATATGTGATGAATTTGATAAGGTCTGATTCTGAAAGCTCTAGATTTTTGGTCTCTGCTTGTTTCTTAATCTCATCCATCAGAAAATTTGCATCTTTCATGTTCCCCATAGATAAATACCTTAAAAAAAAGAAAAAAATAAATAAATCAATTCTCTTTAGTTCCCTTCACTATCTTTTGATCCAATTTATAAAGCAAAGAACTTACATAAGAACTGCTCGTGCAATGGCAACATCATCTTCACCAGGATAACACTGCAAAGTCATGTTCCACCACAAAAAGGTAAGATTCAAATCCAGACAAGTCTTAAGTGAAAAGCAGAGACTAACCCTTCCCATGAAGTTGATCAGCGTAGATGCAAACTTCTCAGGGTCATCGGCTCTAACAAAATGCCTTGATATTCGAACCATGTCCTGCAAAATCCATATTAAAAAAGTCATTTACTGAAAACAAACAAAAAGAAAGTGAATGTAAGAGTTTATAACCAAGAAGATTACAAGTTCAGGACACTCGGTGTAAAGATAATCAGCCAGCATAGCATGCAACTCAGGATACCCTGTGCTTGGCCCACCAAACTCCACAGACCATCTAAAAACAAGACAACAAAACAGTAACTCTAAAATATCTGATACATGTTCACACCAAACAACACAACAAACAGAAAGATAAACAGTGGCTCTGTCTTTACCTTATAGCAGCTCTCAAGAAGGAAGTCAAGTTATCTACTCTTGATCTAGCTTCCCCAAGAGATTCTTGAAGATTATGAACATCTTCATCATCACTCACATCAACCAAATGAGGTGGTACAGGAACCCTAGGAAACAACTTGAACATACACCTGATACGATCTGACACACAAAACATTATATCAATATACCAGAATAATCAGGGTTGTAGCAATTAATACAAAAGTGTAAGAAAACTAACCAAGAGACTCGTCATTACAAGGTGACTTAGCTTTAACTAATGTGTCAACAAACAAAATAGCAAGATCCGCTCCACAATTCACCTGATGAGAGTGAGACAAGAAACCATCATTACAAAACTCAAAGATGATTATAATAAGAGAGTAAGTGACACAAACCAGGCCGTGTTCTAGCTCAACGCATGCCCCAGAGAAGAGTATCTCAAGAGCTTCAGAGAATCTCTGAGCTGTAACATATCTACAAGCATAAAGTTTAAAGCTTTATCTCAAATTCATATTTAAAAATCCAAACTTTAAACCGAATTAAACAACAAGGCTAAAGCTTCATCTCAAATTCATATTTAAAAATCCAAACTTTAAATCAAATTAAACGACAAGGCTAATGGTTTATCTCAAATTCATATTAAAAATCCAAACTTTAAGCGAATTAAGAGAAGCTAAACCTGGCACTGATGGATTTGTACATCTGCAAAGCTCCATAGCCATTACCTTCCTCAACCACTTTCTTCAATTTATCAATATGCTAATAACAATAACGAACAATTCAAATAAGATTCGAATTCAATCTGAATAAAATTAATCCAAAACTTGGAGAAGGAAGGAAACCTCTTGAACGGGAGGCAATTCACGTCTGGTCCTCTCTCTCGTCGACATATTGGATCTTAAGAGTTTTTTTCAGCTTCAAGGTGGGATTTTGATTGATTGATTTGGATCTTTCGGGTTTTTTTTTTATGCTCTGTTTGGGATGTTATATATATGGAAAGTAAACAGAATTTTTTGACAAATGCATGTTGTTTTACGTATTTAACCTCGTTATATTATAGATTAAAAGTTATTTTTTTAATAAAATAGGCAAAACCCAAAATTAAAAATTTCAAATTTTAAATAGTATACAGTATAACTTCTTTAGATTAATACTCTATAAATTAATATACACTAAAAATCTCTATAAAATAATATAATTTTATAATTCCAAATTGAGTTTTTGGTTTAGTTAGTATATCAATAAATTAACAATTTTTATAAATTAATAAAAAAATTCTAGTTTTACTGTAATCCGAACATTATTAATTTTTAGAGGTTTCACTATACGTCTGAAATTAATTTGACTTTTAATCCAACTCAACTCTGCCTCTGCCAATTTTTGGTTAAATGTTAGATTTTTCACATTTAAACAATAAAAGATTACTTAAATTTTATATAATATTATTTATATTTTTTCTTAATTTTTACTTATATTTTATATAATTTTATTATATGAAAACATAATTTATACTTATTTGATAACAATAATAATATTCATAAAAATGTTAGTGTTGTTTATATAATTTTTGTGAATAAATATGTTATATGGATTGATAAACAACTAAATAAATTAAAGAAAGATTAGTTGCACCAGTATCAGAGAGTATTAGATTTTGTTTACTGGCTAATAATTCTCAATAAGTAATATTTATTTAAAAAACTCTACATATTTATAAATATTGGATAAAAAGTTTCAGAAATTGCTTCATTATTTTGGATGTCCTAATCGGTGACTTGGGTGGCTTCCCTTCTGGGTCGGCCCTGTATGTATATCATTCTGACTATGGCTCTCTGTTGACCTAAGATCAGTTTACGATTATTGGGACACTTTGGACCCAGACAGTTTTACTGAGGAGCACTGGCGCATGGCGTTTGAAGTGAATGAAATGTCTCATAGACTTGATGATGATCCTGACGGTCCTATTCCTGATATTACTACTCTCCGCTTGACCAATGAAGATTAATTGTTGTTGCTTTAAGTAGTATTTGTTATGTTTCTGGCAGCTGTTAAGCTTGCAAACAGTTAAATAAAATAAAGCTTTATGATAGTAAAATTAATCTCATTACTGTTAGTCTCAGACTAAATATTTGTTTTTAAGCTTACTGCTCATATTAATAAATATCAAGCTACTAAATCGGCCTAAGGGCTCATAAATTCTACTCGCCTAATTTAATCAAAGGATTAGAAACCGCAAAGAAGCAACACCGCAGTGGATTATATATATATATCCACAGTAAAAAAATATACAAAACAAAGACGAGTTTCATTTCACTTTCAGTTAAGCTGTCCTAAAGCTTGAGGTATGACTCCCGAAATGTCATTTCTTGAGATGTTTCGGTGAAGTAGTCATCTTCTATCAATTCGAAGAATCCCAACTTTAAACAACAAATGAATCGTTGTCCATGTAAACTTGTTTTTATGTTGTCACCTATAAAAATGAACTTTGGTTTGATCCAAACCGAACAGTAAACAAAACTACATCTGCGTTCATCTTTCTATGTTACAAATAAATAAAAAAACTATGAAAGATGAATTGAAATAACAATAAGTTGATAGTAAAGATATTGGAATCATCAACACATTTCAGTCTATTCAAGATTAACAAAAGACAAAGTAGTGAAAGATTAAGATCCACACAACTGAGATATCTAACAAAAGACAAAGGTATTTGATCATCTCTCTCAAAGAAAAGGATAAGCATCTCTCTCTCTCAGACACAATTTCAGTCTACTCAAGATTAACAACAAACAAAATAGTAAGGATTCAGATCCACACAACTGAGATATTTAACAAAGGACAAGTATTTGATCATCTCTCTCATTGAAAATGATAAGCACCTCTCTATCTCAGACTGTTATCTCGACATAGGCCATTATCAAATCGGCGTAGATTCTTGTACAAATTCAGTGCCAAACGATTCATGGCATAGATAATATACGTTTCTTTCCTCATCATGAGAGCTTCCTAAGGCAAGAGTTACATGTCCCGTTTTGGGAAGAGTAGAACTCATTTCTTCTTCTGTAGGAAAAAATACCCTACGTAGACAAAAAATTAGGATTAGTCGCTAAACCCCAAAAAAATGAATTTAGATGAAAGCTAACATTACTTTCCCTTGGAGTTGCCAGTTGAAAAACTAGGCGATGAGAGACGATGCTTGGGGATGATGTCGATGAAGTCTTGTATGGACAGGTGTTCGTTCAAAGGCATCATCTAGTTTTTTTGCAAGACAGATTCAAGCTGCCTAACGTACGCTATCGGCTATCACCCAACAAACTGCCATGATTTGCTTCATTACGTCGCAAATCATATAAGGCCTTTCTGTTGTCCATGTAAACTCCATGCAACCTAAAGAAGAGAACACGGTTCATGAGTAAGCAACATATTCACTAAAAAGATTCAAACTCAACAATGAAGAAAGAAATCAAATCGGAAAAATAGTAAGGAAAAAAAACATTGAATCCAAGAAATCTAGAGTAAACCAAAAGGAATACATGCATGTCATCATTTTCGGTTATGAGGTGATTTTTTTCTATTTATTTTCTATTCACTAATTATCCTACTGACATGGCTTGTCACATATTGATAAATTATCTTCATATTCTTCACGGTTGAATCTCATGCAGCTTTTCATACAAAGCATAAATACTATTGGCATCAGGAAAATGATTATGGATCTTGAGGTGATTTGTTCTGATTCATCTTATACAGTTTTCACGTTTTTTCATGATGATTCTATTTGTTTCTTTTATTCTTCTTCACATGCTTGATAGTTTCTTTTTTTCTTCCATGTCTCTGTAGCCTCCTAGATTTGACAACGGATCGATACTGAGCCAGGATCCAGCAATATTATATATTTGGTCGGAAAAAAAACATAAATAATGATCAACGTCAAGCTATACTAAAGGTCATCTCATGATTGTGTTTGATTGTTCTCTTGTTTAACTTGCTATTCTTAACACATTTATGAACAAAAATTGCTTTTTTTAAATACTCAAATACTCCATGCAAAGGACTATGCGTTGATCTTAGGAATGCCTGGACAGGGAAAAAACCTCCACCATGGCCAATGCTGTGAAAACGTTGTTGATCAGAGGCTCCTCTATTCAGCTGGAATCTTACACAAACTCTGAAGTTGATAATCTACTTATCAGTTTAAAACCACAGGTCCCTTATCCTGTCAAATTAACTTGTTTACCTATAAAAATGAACTTCGGTTTGAATAGTAAACCAAACTACTTATGTGTTCATCTTTCTATGTTACAAATTAATAATTTAATTAAATATGAATTAGAAGCATTGGCAAACACATAAAAAAATATGAAAGATGAATTGAAATAACAATGGAGTGGATAGTAAAGATATTGGAATCATTAACACATTTCAGTCTACAAAAAGATTAACAAAAGACAAAGTAGTGAAAGATTCATATCCACACATGAGATATCTAACAAAGGTTGATCATCTCTCTCAAATCTCTCTCAAGGATAAAGGATAAGTAATAGATGAAGGATAAACACCTCTCTCTCAGATGGCCATTATCAAATTAGCGTAGATTCTCGTATAGCCATCAACGCCAAATTCAGTGCCGAATGATTCCTGGCATAGATAATACAGGTTTCCTTCCTCATCACGAGAGCTTCTTGCAGAAAGAGTTACATGTCACATTGTGGGGAGAGGAGAACTCATTTCTTATTTTGTAGGGAAGAAAATACCCTACATAAAGTAAGGAGTAGTCACTAGAACCCAGGAAAAAATGAATTTAGATGAAAGGTAACATTACTTTTCCTTGTCGTTGCCAATTGAAAAACTAGGCGATAAACAAAAAATATTGATATCGTAAAATTATAGATTAAGAGACAAGGGTTTAATATCAATGTTCGTGTACAAATATTATTCATGACATAATCAAATGGAGTCTTTCCTTTATAATATGAAAATTCATTTCATGTAAAAAAATATATATATATATAGTCCTTCATAACACTTGCATTAAAACATTTCATTAAAGAAAATCAAGAATTTCGAAATTCACCAATATATGCTTAATTTGTGGCCTTATCGACATTTAATAAATTTTACTTTACGTTTAATACATATAACTAACTTCACTGAATCCTTTTTCACCAAAATAAAAATCAAGCTTCCAGATAAAATTATGCATATAAGTATCAAATTCCTTTTGACCAAAAAAGTATCAAATTCCTAAGTAGTATTTTTGGTGAACTTGTTTTTTCTTTTGAATCTGTTTTGTTGTGTGGTAAGAGATGACATAACTAGAAACATCATATAGATACTATTTGAGAAACGATTTTTAAAGGTTTGATTATGTGTCATCATAAGCAGGAATCCTAAATGAAAGTAGGCCTGGATTTAAAAAAGCGTGATAAGATTTCGCTAAGGCGTGAAGCGACCTTGGTGGGGAGGGTCACTGATATCTTGCATATTTTCATACTTTTAACCATCCATTTTATGTTTACATTGATCATTTAGGTGCATTTAGAGTCTATTTAGGTTGCATTGCACTTGTGTTTGTGTGTTGGCAGGTATGGATAAGTGCTAATCAAACTTAGAGGCTAAATGGGTTCCAAAATGTTGAAAAGAGCAAGAAATGGTGCAAAACCGGGCAAG